TAAATGATTATTTCTCAATTTCACGTTGAAATCACCTTGATCCTGACCTGATAGGGTCAAACTGACTGCGGATTTGAATTCAGCATGTCAAAATGCTACAGAATATAAAATCTCAACACCAGATCCAAAAGAAAATGGTTTGTTGTAGCTGTGTTATTAATATCTATCTATAAATTAGAACAAAACTAACGGATTTTAATATCGGAATTATTCACAGCGCAAAGAAAATTTCCAATCAGAATTTCCTTTCTCCCAACTTTCAACAGATTTTATTGAATGTATACCAAAAACATTCTTACGGACCTGCGGAGCAAATTACTGCACTGTACCTACTTAGAGCACTTTGCAGTTTAAAACATAACCAAAAAATTTAGACAGACGATCAGAGCTGTTACAGGGGCCAAAATTAACCGCTCATTTTATCATTTTTTTTTGAGAATACAAAGTAATTTAAAGGCCACAATCCGTTCTCACCACCGACTTTAAAATGCTTCAATCGCAGGTAGATCGTGTTTTATCAGAGAGAACCCTGAATAAGGGGTTACTGTCTCGGATGAACGTATGTAAACCAGTTCATAACTTGGAAAAGCGCCTGGCTATTTTCGCTCCATCTTTAACACTTCAGCTAGGTATAGATTTCAATGCATTGGAGCCAATATGCATTTACACGCAAAGGTAAAAAAGCATTGCATCTCGCTTAATTTTCCCGAACAGTGCTTTGAATTCGCTTTTCAGGACAACTTCGCTGAGGCTCGCGCAGTACAAAGATTTGCTGAATAATGAATTTCCGAAAACTGCTAGACAACTCCCGCCATTCCCGACAGTAATTCTTTATCAATCAGGGTGAGAATTTTATTGCATTTATGTAAGTTCAATAGTATAACGGAGGCCTGCAGCGTTAAGATGTGGCATGAAACTATTGAATACATTAGTATTAAAACTTTAAGAAATTGTTCAATACAAACGACTAACTAAAATGGTTATTTCAAGAAACTGGGACTTCCAGCCAACACCATTAGAGCATGTCATTTTAGGATGGACTTTCCTACCTGCAGAGGAATTTGAATTAGCCGCAGTTCTGGACGCCGATTCTAAGATTTCCAGCTCTCATTGTTGATCAATTAAATCGCTTAGTTTTATTTTTCTGTATTTTGCTATTATTTAACTGTTACGCTTCTCATTTGTAACACGCGGACTTGAGTTGAGACGTAGTTGAGATAATATTTTTCAAAAGTAAATATTAATTCGGAAGAAACCAAGTACTGTCGTTTTGATAGTAGCCCAAAAACATTCTAAATATATACAAGCCATAGTTTTGCAAGCCAAACAGCTGCTGATTTACTATCTCAAACGCGTTGATAAAATGAGCGTCGGGATACTCTCTCGCTGTGCAAGTAAACATAATGGATAATTGATAAGCTCAAATTGCTCAAAAAGACACATCAACTTCTTGAAACTTTGCTGTTTACCACAGAACTTAATCCAATTACTTTCGTGCAATCGCGGTATAATTAGTTTTTGTTTCATTACAGAATTTTATAGCATATGTAGGTAGGTGTGTTATGGCTTAAAAATGTATTATGTAAAAATGTATAATCTATTAAATTTTATTAGTTTTAGTCTCTTCAAAACTCAAACTTCAAACAAACTGAGGAATCTACCTTTGATGAAATTTTAAAAGAATTGCATCTTTATTTCATGTTATTTCAACTATCATATGAAAATATGTAACTAATGTTCGTTACATTGAATCACGATGTATAATAAGTAAAAATTATGAGAAAATAGACATATCTACTTATATTTGTATTAATTTAACAATGTATTAATTAAATTAGAGCAGAAAAGTTAGACGTGGCGGTCTAACTCAACATTTGCTGGTTAATACCAACTTGTGGTCTTAAGTAAATTTAAAGATTGCAAACCATCCAAAAATTGATAAAAAACTAAAAACGAAAAAAATATTCTTCACAGTAATGCTTTCCGGTTTGCATGATTTTCAAGTTGCATCGTTCAATCATAGCTCAGTTTTATTTAAGGAAACGGTAGAACAAATTCATAAAATGACCCAGTAAAAGTACGACCAAGCTCAACTAATCCTCTAGAAAGCATAGATAAAAGTTCGAAGTTGCGTTTGCAATCCCCTGCATACAGAAATCACGCATTCAGACTGAACCCGGGATTTATTCTTCCACTGCAGCAATGCAAGAAGCAATATTGTATGAAACTACATAAAGATAAGAATTTCTTATATGTGCATGCAAGTATATTAAGGTTTATGGAACTCGAACCAACAATGATTTCTATCAAGAGATGGTTTTAAGAAAACCTCGCTTCCGGGATAGAATATTGTGCGATATTATTTAATAAAACTTAAAAAAAAAATTACGTGTACTAAGTACAGTAATATTCCGTCTAACTTGTGAGTTGTTAAACTAGCCAATCATGTGTTGATTTTCATTGTAGTAAACCAAATGCGATAGGAATTTCACTCATTCACAGTCAGATTTTTCCTGATAACTAACCAAAAGCTTTCAACCGTAATTCCTCAAAGAACCTCGATTGTTTTCAAAGTAAAAATTAATTCCAGTACAATTTTAAACAACTTTTTAACCTCCTAGAAAGTTTCTTCTATAAAGAATTATATTATACCCCTGGTTCACATTTCGTATTTTGAATCAAGTTGCTAAAGTTTTGTTGTTTGCCTTAATATCAGTTTTTGCAATAAGCGCAGCAAAGGAGCTATAGCAAAATCCGCATAATATTTATTTTAAGCAAATGTCGGATACGTTATCATTGTGGAATTTTCACGTGTCTTGAAAAAGTTTCGCGAACTTGGGAAAACCAGAAATTAATAAATACCTCTATTTATGGAAGAAAATCACGATTAAGTGAACACGCTTAAAATCTTTAATTTCTCCTCAATTAGAATTTTAAAGTTATGTTGATATTGGTCCACAATTTAATGGCTTTTGTACTGACGGGCTTTATTTCCAACCATTTGTATTATGCTCATTTCACACATTTCCTACAGTAGTAAAATCCCGTAGAAAATCTAAGCTCTTAAGGAACACCCGGCGCATATTTAAGATACAAGCAACTGTCTCAATTTAAACATTTCAAGAATATTTCCACTTTGATGTTTTGCGCAGCATTTCAGCATTTTAGCTTAAATGATATTTCCTGGTTTCAGTTTTGAAGCTGAAAAGTTTATAGCACAAAGATTTTGTTTATAGGGTAGTACATGTACCCGTTCATGACCAGGTACATAGTACATGACCAGTTCATGACCAAACGGATTTGGTTTGGATCAAGTTTTAATTTTAAGGATGATCTTCATAGAAAAAAAAACTATAAGTTGCCAAAAAATATTGCATTTTCAAGTTTGATGGTCTATGGAAAAAATCAAATCTAGTCTCGAGGGAAGAAAATGTTACATCCCATTTGCAAAACATTGGAAATACAATATATAAAACATAGCTTGAAGTTAATAAACCAGTTGCAACTCAGCTAATATGGTCAACAGCATTTCAAATACTTACGAGGATATATTTTTAAGTTAGAAAATTAGACACCTATACAGAAACCCTCTCTGAACAGCCTCTATATAGTAACTCATATTGATAATTTATTTAACCAAATCAGAAACGCCATAAAATAACAAATATCAGTTTAAACTTTATGTACCGGCTTGCACTAAAACCGTAAACATTTGGAATTATGTATTACTTGTTCCATTTTAATTTATACGTTAAGTGGAAATCCTGTTTTAAAACTTCCATCACTTAGGCTTTTAATTCCTTGCGGGATAGTTGAGCATAAATATCTGACACACATTATTTAGAATTTTCCTGGAATTAGCTTTAAAATCAATGCCGCAAATCGTATAAATTTATAAACCCTTTTGTTCACATTCAGACAGGGTTTTCGAAATTTATTGTTTTTTTTTTCGGCCCAAATGCTCGGATTCTTTGGAATATATAGACTCGGTGCTCACTGTGTTTTATTCAGCAAATTTTATTGATGGATAACTCTTGGATTTGCAGTTTTTAAATTGACTATTACCTGTCGTCTTTATAAATTTAATAAGGTCGTTAACAGTTTACAAAGCTAATCGTTAGCAATCGATCCGGTATTGACGGTAAACTTAATGTTAGATTGAAATTGTGAAGTGTGGCTGTTTAGCTTTTAAATTACCTGTGCAACCGGTGAAAGCACAATAACATGACAACGGGGAAAATGTGAAGGAAAACGCCGTGGTAAAAGCCAGGTTCAAGTTACTTATAATGAAAAACTCCGAAATGTTGTCCAAATTTCTTCAGAAAGTATTAATAATGTAAATGATTACGTTTTCGAATCTTAACTGTCTCAAGGAAATTTCGAGAACGCAAGGTCACTAAAATAGCTTGGGAAATTGTTTCACCAAAAGACAGATTAAGCTTCAAACAAAGTCGCAAACAAGCGGTCTAAAATATTTTTAATATGACCACACATATATGTATCCAATATGTATTACATTTTTGAATCCACTCCAAATTCGAGATATATTTCGTGTATAATTTACCATATAAACACTTGCAATAGACAACATATACACAAACACCCTTTGTGCTGTACACAAACTTGCCCTTATTTTTAATACTAAATCAGACAAAATTATCAAAAATAGGAGTTTCAATTTTAAAAAATGATTTTGGGCGGTTTTCTCAACGTCATTTTGAAATTAATTTTTTAAACATTTCGTATTAATATTTATCAAAATTTCGTTCAAATTCCATTAAAGTAAGTCTTTTTCAATAAGAAATGCGACTCAAGTTAAGTAGCACATATACCGTTATAGGAAAATTTTTTTTTCGATTGTCTGCAACTGTCATTTTTCATATAAAATTTCAAATATATCAAAAACAGTTAGACTTAGGTATAGGATGTTACATAAAATATATTTAGGATTTGGAATAGAATTTAAAAAAGTAATAATATATAGGGTGTTATTTAAAATAAGCAAGTTGATACATACGTCCGGTATAACCGAAAGTGTGGTCATCGTAAAAATATTTTACACCGCTTGCCCCCAATGGCTTCGGCACATTGTCCAATTCGCAAATTGTTGTGGAAATGTATAATTGTTGTGGAAATGTATTCAGAAATTACAAGTATTCGCCTATTATCAATATAACTATGCATTAAGTTTGAAATATCGAAAAAGACCACTTTCCCCAGGATTTTTAACCATTAGAAAGTCGGCAAAAATATATTTTAAAATTGCGAAAATTTATAATGTCGTTTCCTGAACTGGCATGAAATATTCCTTACGGCTTTATTAATTTTTGAGGATAAGATTTTGTATATTGATATCTTATGAAAAATTTCGTTTTCCAGAATTTTCCGTAATATTATGGAGAAGTAGTGGAATTCGATCTTTGAAAAGTGATCTAAAACCGCATTTTCTGCTAAAACACCGCTAAGAAAAGTTGTTAATAAAAATATTATCTATGAGGAAAGCACATTTTTGGCGAGGTTGATCAAAGCCTCATACCCCTAACAATTACCAAAATCTGCTTTTTGAGGACCGCAGAATATTACGTACTTGTAAACTTGTCAAAAATTTTAGTAACCAAGCCTAGAAATACCTACCTTATTCTTTGGAGTACTGTATTTAGTTTGGTATCTGGGCCTTTATCTAAGTGTGATCAAGCTGTGCCAACAATTTATCCTCCGGACCTATTCCTAGAATGTGACCACATGTGAAAACCACTAATTTTATCAAACATAGGTTTTAGGCAGACGAGCGCCATGACATGTAGAGCAAAACTTGCAATTTTAATTTTGTTTTCACAACATTTGAATAAACCTGATGTTAAGAAAGAAACAACCATTTGAGGAAAAAGGAAATTTACGAAATACATTGACTCTGGTTTATGAAGAGCAACCTTCGCCAAACCATTTACACCTGAAGACTGGAAGCAGTTTGTTAAAGAATAGGAAAATTATTTAAAATGTATTGATTTTATATAGGCACCGCGACGCCGGTCAAAGTAACGTCTTTTGTGCGGTACTTTGTCGGCACTTTGTCGGCGTCTTTGATGTTCCTTTGATGATATTCCAGTTTGCTGGTGAATAAATTTGAGTAAATCCAACAGATGGAGCTACCTAATTAATATTAGCAATATATAAAAGCGGCAACTGTTCAACACTCGATTTCGCCCTGATTGTTAACTATAAGTTACCAGTTAATGGTGTTACTGTACAGCAATTATCATCAAAAGTAAATCCCTTCTATATATTTTTAGTGTTTTAAAGTGTATTTGAGAATTTACGCAGAAAGGGCAACTACCGTTAGAGAAAAAATGCTTTTTATACAAACACACAAAAAATCCTTTTCGTTGATTGATTGGTGTTGGTTTCGTTTCGCTCGGTTACTGAGATCTAGCAATTTTAGTGGACAGCCAATATTAAAGTATCTAGGCTTTCGGTCAAGTGTCTCTTTTACCAGCCCAAACTCTTAAAAAAGCTTAATTTTGAAGGAAAATTTCATTTTTGAAACATTGAGTGGTGTTCCAATTCTTGTTATTATGTTCCAAATACTGAAAGCGGCAACAAATACATTTGGACTGCCAACCACTATTTCATCAAGTAGTCTGAAAAGTAAGCCTCATAAGAGTTCTAGAAATGAAATCGGACAAATGCAGCTCAGCTCAGGTTGTGTGAACGATTTAATGTTTTGAAATTGTTCTATGCGTGGTATTTAAGAAACAAAAATCAGAGCCTTGTTCAACTTTTATTAATTACCGAAATTTTGCTCAGCAAACATTCGGTAATCCACGTTGTTTGGCTTCGCTTAACATCAGTTTATAATCATCATAAGCGAACTTAAATGATAATAATGCTTAATTACATATCTGCGCTTTAATTTCCTATTAATTAAATGCACTTGGGTAGCATGGGGTAAATTGAATTAAAACTGTCACATTCGACTCGCGCTGTTTAAATTGGAATAGTCATTTCACTCAGGGGCCCTCACATTAATAAGTTTTCTTATTTGAAGTCCAATGGAAGTACCTTCCTTAAGTTTTGAGTCACTTAATTGTCGAAAGATTTCTCTTAAGTGCTTAAAGCTTTCACCCTCTTTACCCAAGACTCGCTAATCCTCATTTAACGTGAAGTGCCGAAACTATTTCGGTCGAATCAGATGCATTTAAATACTAACTTAAGTATGGAATTCCATAAGTATGGAACACCCAGTACACTGGTGAAAAATTACAACTATTTCTGCTTATCGCAATACATGCATACCACTCTAGCAAATGTAGAAAATAATTCAGACAAATTTAAGGCTTCAAGAAGGCAAAGATCTAAAAGAACGTTGATTTTTACCAATCACGAGGTAAGTTTTTCCAGTGTTTTGCTCTCTAAGGAAGAATTTTTTTCCCTCAAAAACTGATGAATGTTTTAACACTTTTTAAATTATAGTTTTTTGTACAACATATCTTAATTATGAATTGGTGTTTGTAGTTTGTGTAAATTTTAAATCTGATGATTGCGCTGTTGTCTCGCCGAAACGTTTTTACTTCACACTTTGACTGAGACCCAGGAAAGATAAGAATATCATAACAAATACACGTCAGGAAAATAAATCAGAATTTAAACACTAACGAAATTTCCTTCATATCTTTATATCTTCATTCGATTATCATTTATATCATTCGTCGTTTACTATTCTCCTTTTGAAGACCATAAGAACACTATTAACTTGAAACTTTCATAAATTTGCCTCTTATTCTCCTGATACTAAAGATTATTTAAATAGCAACAAAATTAATTTAATTGGTTGGTTCAGAATCAGCTACTAGAATTTTTGCTTTCTAAAAGAATCAATAAAAATACCGTTTTGCCAACTGCTTCTTTCACTAATTAATGTTATTACTTTCCGTGTATTAAAAGAAATCTGTCTAAGGTTGACGGAAGAGGGTTTCTAGAACCGAGGGGAGCATCTATATAAAGTTCAATTTAGTTCATTATTTCCATCAAGGTGTTTGAAATTCATAACCGTAACTGATGGCAACAGTTTTGTCGAAAATAACTAACCGTTTACTTAGGAATAATTAAATTTAATCGCTTCACTTTTCCCGAGTAAGACTAACTGTGAATTATGCTGAATATCTTAATGGGGGAATGTGTAATAAAAACCAAAATAAGATCGAGCAAGCAATAACAGAAACGCATGTGAATAATCCGTTAAAAACGTATAATCTTTATGTGCAAACTTCAATGGAAACGAATTAAGTTACTGTAGAAAGGAGACGATTGAGTTTCAAAGTGAAAGTACATATCTTTAATAAAGGTGTTATAATTACGATATATACGGTGAGAAACAAGATGATTTCAGTACCAAATTTAAGTGAAGTTGCAAGGATAAGAAAACGTAACAAATTAGTGACTATTTCAACACGAAAATCTCAAGATAACACAAACTATTTAAAAAAATTGCATGCAATAACCGTGCGTACATATTTAATTTGAGCACGTCATTTTGCATGGAAAATTTCGAATATTTTACTAGCTTCTCGAATACAGTGTAGTTAAATGGGCCAATAAATACCGTTCAATATGTGAAAATGAAAGTTTTGTATTCAGTAAAAATATGCATATAAAAAATATGTATATAAAATAAATATTATTTTTGAAATTGAGTATTGCAAATAAGTAGATATTTACCTGTACTGATTGTTGACTTATATGTTTGGGGTTTACTGGTTTATTAACAAACGATGTACTTATATTTATGTTCTACTGGTTCGAAGATATTTAACAAAATATGCACTTTTTAAGATATCATGGAAGTGTCGATCAACATTTAGCTAGCTACCTTCAGCGGATGACTGAAGTTAAATCAGTATCATCTAAGTCCTCTCGCATCCAGCAAATTTGGAAAATTTATATCCAATGACAAATAAACGGACATTCCGGTAGCAAGTCATTATTCGAATTTCTGACTCTTGATGAAAAACAACATAAGTATGTTTTATGTTATATAATCAATGATTAAAACTTAGTACAGTAAAAGATGGATTGACATATATCTGATTTATCTGTAAGTTCTACACATTACACATTTTTATAAATATTTTAGTATTTCCTTTTATTTCAGTATTTAGTATAAGTTCGGCTATCTATATCTTTGGTCGAAACTAACCAACATTTTACAACTGTTTGCGGGAACATAGTGAAATGTATTAAATTAAAAATTGCTAGATATATTTATTTAAGGGTGTGTTGTAAGTTGCAATTATATAAAGTATATACGTCCGAGTAAATGTTCTTTTATAAATAAAGGGTCTATTTGGTCATTTATAATTCCCGCGCGAACATTTATTTAATGAAGATATTACGTATAGCTTTTGAGAAATATTTGGGGTTTTCCTCATATCTCTATTAATGTTAACTATATGTCTCAACCAATCCGTTGAGGATAGTTTTCGGATGGCCACTGAAACAAAAGAAGGTGTTTGCTTCATTTCAAGTCTATTTTCCATTATTCCCCAACATATTATATGGAAAAACAGTATTTTTCTTTCACATTAGCACTTAGGAAAGCATGTGCTACTTTCATTTATTGCACTGGAATGTGAATAATTTAATAATTCTTTCCGTCGACGGTTAGAAAAAGTTGCTTCTGTTAATTACATAGGTTTTACATTGAGAAATAATATCTACTTCTGATCCAAGACAATCTGTTATTAATATCTGCAATATATTCAAGGTGCGTAAATTTAAAATGCTCACTACTCTCACTCATGTTACAGGTACCCAATCAGAACGAAAAGTTTTTCAGCCAAACAAAGCATATACGGTTTTCAAATAATTAGACTTCTCGTCAATTTAGATAATTAGAATTATAATCAATACAAACAAATAATGCAATATTTGGTGAATAAAAAATACTGCAAATGCTTGTACACACTGATGTTAAAATCGATGATAATTCCATAGCGTCTGTTTCTGTTTTTTGAGAATCCAAAGAAGGAAATATTCTTTCCTTTTTCGGCAGCAACAGAAACATTAATTTCACTGGGATGCTGCCAATATTTTATATTTTTGACATATATTTTTCAAAGGAACTAATGGTATGAGTCTAATATTTTCATCGATTTAATGTACATTTTGATTTTCCATTTGGATTGTTATGTTGTACTTTCCAAATTCACCTAAAACGACTTTCAATAAACTGAAAAATATTTCAACCTTTAATGCTTACTTTGTTATGAAAATATGTGAATATTTTTAAATATACCTTAAATTTAAATAAATACATTAAACTAGTTTCAAATTGAGATCACATGTAGTTACACAAAATGATATATTTCACAAGATATTCTATAAACAAAATATTGATTTTCTGGCAACTGAAATAATGATGAATTAAATAATCCAGGAAATGATAATAATGCATAATTGCAAACTGACAAAGCTTTCATTACAGGTCGCGGTACTATTGATGAATAAAAGTGTATTTTACAATGTTCAAGACATCGCGTGTGTTTGTTAGTTAAATAGTCTCCAATGAAAATGTCCATGTTTTGCGTGTTTTCGCCACTTTGATGGTTTTTAATAAATACGGAAATGAGTATTAATTAATTTACACAGTGCACGATCCAAGCTATATAGCGACCGTAAAAAAATATTAAATTCATATAAGTCTACACAAGAGCAGAAAGACAGATTGGGTCGATAAGAAATAAAGATTATTTTTTTTATGCATATAAGTTGATAGCGTAGTCATATAATTATTTTATGAATATCTTGAAATTTAAAAGGAAGTGAAGTTTTAAACATTTAAAGCTCGTTTGACAAATCCGGAGAGTTTAGTTAAAAGTCGTTTGAAAAATACGACATAATCTGTAATAATACTCAATTACGAATTTGCATAAATCGATCTCATTATAATTTCATTTGCTTAGCACCTTTAGCTCAAGTTCTACCCTTACTAAATAAACTTATTATTACCCAAAAATTGCAACCCTTCAATTAAAATATTATGATTGATTTAAAGTATTTTGAAATATCTCAGTTTTTTTACCCTACAGTCTTTTGCTCATTTAAATTTTCACGTACTTTTCAGTTTTTGTCAACTATACATTTTCATGCCGGTCACACCTTTATTTCCTTTACTGCCTTCATTTTCTCCAGTCCAATGAAGAAGCATTGTTCGTTAAAAATCGTTTGCGAATCAGTAATAGTTTTCTCTCATATGTTTAACAAGCGAACAAGAGAGCAATTCATCGTATAGATTCATTCATTGGTAGAGCATAAGCTGACCAGAAAGGGATCTATTCTGCTCATTTATCCTATATCATGGAGTTTTAGCAAACCTATACTCAGCTTTAGTTCTAAATCCGGTGCGATAAGATTGGTATTACGTGAAAACCAAATTACCGAAAGGTTTAGTGAGGCCCGTAAAAATGTAGCACCCGTTTTATTTCACGGATATTCTAAAGCACGATTCTCCTGCACATGAAAAGTTTTACTTTACAAGTGGATTTTTTTAATTTTCCGCGGGGAGAATTAGCCAAAACTTTATTAATATCTTAACGTGTACATTTTGTCTAACCCAAACTAACCCAAACCTTGGTTTATTTTCACTTGATTTAAGCCATCAAACATGTATAAGATTAATTGGAGCTACTTTAGAGCAAAGAACGCACAATTTATATCTGTTTTTACCATTAATAAAATTAAGTTGTATGCGGTTTTTAAAATTCTGTACGTTTCGTGCATTTTCATTTAAATAAAAATTGTTATTTTGATTTGCAAACTTTGCAAACAACCTTAATAGTACCAAATAAGTGAAAGTTACCTTGCATAGTAAGGTACAAATACAAATGAGAAAATGTCTTAATGTACAACACTCTCCCCTAAAACCGACGATGCGCGCATGAGTCGCAAAAAAATTGAAAGGTTGAGAATTGTTCAAAAATTTACCACATTCCGAAAAAATCCTGTTTTCATTGAGCATAAAATGCTTATTGCGCGCCTGATCTGAGTTTTTCATCTTTCACTGTTTATTTTTGTCGGGTGTTTATTTGCGGCTACATAGGATTTCTCAATAGAAAAAAATGTTAATCATTCAGACAAGTAAAACGACAAAGGGACGACATGGTTATGTTTGTAATGTACAATTCGACAGATTTTCTTGAAAAACTCGCAAATATTCGAGTGTTTTGATGGGTTTATCTAAAGTGAACTTTTGGTGCAAGTGAATCCCAGCCGATACGGAAATGGTTCAGGATGGGGCCCCAGCGTGCAGAAACCTGGTAAGATAGATCCTTAATAAACAGGGTGTCCGGAAAAATGTAGGCATTTTTCAAAACACTTAGCTCGAACTGACGGAGGTCTTTGGAAAGCGACCAGATATTTCACGGCTTTCTTATACTCCAATTTCAGTGGAGCTTCATCCCAATATCAATGGAGAATTATTTCCTGTAAACTAAACATTTTTTTTCCAGGTGACATGATACCGGCCGCTTTGGTAAGTTTGGCTTTACATTTTCCCCGGCAGATCGCTTTTAGATATTGTTGACTTGTATTATATTGTTGCATGTAATATTTAAGAGACGAGGAACAACGAGAAAATTTTTGGATACTGATTACGTTAATTCAATTTATTGTTTTAATACGAACGTAACAGCAAACATGTAAATCAAGTCTCGTTTTTGTGTAAATTACATTTTCTATTGTCTTGGACGGTAATTTGTTGGATTTATTAGTGTTTTCTTCTGTGAATTACATTCTAAATTAAAGAGGTCTTGTATAGCGATTTGTTCCATTTTCGAAAACAACATTTTTTACTCCGTTTTCTACCTTTACAGTTTAATTTCATACCATTTTCTTCTAAATTTCGATATCAATTTTATTGGTGTGTGATATTTATTATTGTTTAGCGACTTTTGAATTTTAACTTTAAATCTTCAGTTGTCGACATAGAACTCTCGTAAATTTGGTTCCTTTTTAATCAGCAGCTTATGAATAATTAGTATCTAAACTTTGATTTCATTGACCGCTCTTATACAATTTAATTTTAATACGGTTTGCATGTAAAAAGCTGTGTCCTTTTCGAATCCTATCGAAGCAAAATGATAAATTTGCACATACAAATTCAGAATTTATTTAAGATTTGCACTAAGTCGTATCTTAGACGTAAAATGGCCAAATAATCCAGATACACAAATGCTTGACAACGCAGACTAAGCAAGTATTGTGTCGACTTGTCATTTATGCCAAACCAAGGCATACTTGATTTTTAATTTTTGATCAGTTTCATGTTGTTAATAACCCAGTGACGTATCGTAAGATCCAAAATTGTATTTATAAATTTACAGAATTATAAAATGGTAATAGTAAGTTATTATTAAAGTGTTAAAAATTTACGCAAAAAATTGATTTCCATTAGTTGCTCTGAAGCTGCTTTCCTGTTCCGACAAAAATTTAGTCTTGCAAGCTATTGAAAACGCTATAGCTCATAGTAGCGGCGTCAGTATTTTCAAATCGACGTTAAGCAGTTCTATTAAGGCCGTTAGCAGCTTTCTAAAGAAACAAACCTTAAGGGTGGAGCAGAATTAAATGGAATTCATTAAGATTTCTTAAATCATAAATGTTGTCCCAAAATCTTAAAATCCTTAACGCATATTGTATGAAAATTTTCAAACAAAATGATACTTCATATAACCGAATATCAAATAATAAATTAGATTTAAGTTGCCTATAAAATGAGATAACAGACAAAGTAGAAAAGAATAGTTGTATGCAAATTTAATATATAGCTTAAACATTTCTTAACTTTTGACTGTCAACGTTTTTTAAATCTGTAATGCGATTTGAATAATTTTTTGATCAAAACATAGCTCAATTTTTAGACGAAAGTTGCAAGATAAAGAAAAAAATGAAGTAAACATATTGTACAGGGTGTTTAACCGATGTCATGTTTCAGGTTTTCTGAGTAATTTGGATCTTTAATTCAGTTCAATTTCAATTTATTTGTAAATTTACTACATTTTCTATGTATAATTTTTTCAATATATTACATTATTATAATTGAAAACAACTGCTCCTACTTATTTAACAAATGCATTTTCCTACTAATCAAAACGCAATATAGAATTTGTGTTCTTTATACCGAAGCTTATGTTCTAACAAAAAGCCAACAATCACAATCAGCTAACAAACATTACATAAAGTATTTTAAATTTAATTTTAGGTAATAAACTAGGGCATTTACCGTGAAATTTAGCAAATATTGAACACATGTTTAGCTTTGTTATTTTTTAGTTACGAAAAT